CCACGATTCGGGCGGTTGGGCAGGGAATCCGGGATGGTCTGCTTCAGGGATAGAGCCCTTGTTGGTGCGAATGTTGATGGTGAAAGGTCCAAGGTCAGGCGTCTTGCCAGTCCAGCTCAGCGGACTATCATCGTCCTCCAATGTGATTTGGCCGTAACCATCAACACCAGTGTACCATAGCAATGCGTTGCGGCTGCGCTTGTCCGCGTCTATGGGTTGGCCAGAGATGCGTGCAGCCCATGCTTCGCCGCCTTCGCCTGGGAGAACCACGTAGGATGTGGTGAGATTGAGATTGTTGACGGGATCCAGAAGGGTCTGCACGCCGCCTTCGCCGGGGACAAAGTGCGTCCAAGTGTAGGATGCGAGTCCATCAGAATCGGAGGCTTCGTGCCGCGTTTTGGATATGCTCTGGTAGTCTTCGAGGCCGCACCTAAGCAAGTGAGCTTGGATTTTCGTGCTTTGTCTGTCCACGCACCACATAAGGCCAGTCAGAAGACTTTGAGGTAGCTTCGGGCGCAGCCCAAAGTACAGGTTGGGTCTGTAGGCGCCCCAGAGGCCTGTAGGAGGCGGTGGTGCGTCTAGAAATATTCAAATTGGAGAGTTTGGTGAATGTTAGATTATTTACCATTTCCTTGCGCCTGCACCCCGACCAGAGGCAGCACAAGTGGAAGCAAGAGACTGAGATGCGTCATGATGCTTGCCCTTGCCAGACAACGCGACGTGTTTTGATCGAGTTGCCTGACCCCGGGTAACCAGAACGCGACTTCGGACTTCATCACCGCGATCATAAAAACATGGGAGCGGATTGTAGCGTATGGTAAACGTTGCCACTTGATCGCAATATGGTAAGCGATGGCCATATAAGTCAGATACGGTCAGGTTATTCCAACTGTCTGATCATATGGAGGGGAATCGTCAATATGATTGCAGTATGGTCATTACGTTGTCATACTCATACACTATGGAACCGGTATGGCAATACATGTACAATATTCCTAATGCATTGACCATAAACACCGAATATGCTGGGTAGATTGTAAGCAACTTGCCACATATTAAACACATCATCAATGCTCTTACCGTATGGCTACAAGATTGACAATTGAGTTCAGTATGTTCATTGTACAGCGATGTATCCACATCATTTCAATCCAATTCAGATGTACCACCGCTATTTATTGTACATCCAGATTTTAAGTGTGGCACATAGTCCGCTGGGTGGCGAAAAGACACTAGGACTGAATATATTAACTACTACTACATATATAAATATGTGTAGGGATCGTCATCATCGCCTAGTACTTGCAAGTTGCTATTGGTTTTCAAGTGGGTCTCGTTGCCGACGACGCTTGTCGTTGTCGTTGATGATCGTATCCGTGTCGTCTAAAAGGAGACAAAGCTGTGTGTCTCTGGACAGTGGCTGTGAGCGTCTGGACACTGTATGTTACGATCCGAGTCATGCACTCAAGTTAGCAAGGCACAGATATCTGGTCTTTCAGCAAGAGTAGGTTTCCATTTTCTGTCAATGTGTGTAATTTCAACTATCAGGCCTTCGGGGCTAAGAGACGCGGATGTCAAGTTGCGGTGCCTATGTGGCGCAGAATTTGATATCTTGCTCGATTTCGTCATTAAAACTGTACAGTTAACGCACCAAAATATGCACAAACATACTAACCTCTCAAAATCTCTTTTTTGCGTTGATATCAGCATTACAGGCATGTCTACTCAACAACCTCCTTCCCTTGCCGTCGAGGCAGACGAAACTTGTAAGTGCCCCACCAACAGCGAAGGCGATGCAGCGTCATCAAGAGAACAGAAAAGTATGTATTTCTTCACATTGCAAGAAGCCGCGCTAACGGACAAGTTGTTCCACAACTGGCTAACCTTTCCAATCTTAAGTATAGCTACTAGTTTACTATGCCATTTCCAAAGCTGCGGATCTTGACCGCATCTCGAAGACGCTGGTGAACCGAAAAGGTGTGCACTACCGCCCGATTCTTAGTTATCGCTGATGTACGCCGACAGGCTCCAAGTTGTACAACTTCCTCAGCGTCAAGTATTTTCAACCGCTCGGAATCCGAACTTCGGGAGAGGATACACCACAGTGAAACGATTTGAGGTACGCCTTCGGTTCTCACTGTTCTGTAGCCCGCGTAGCTAACTTGTCTTGTGCTACAGCTCGATGTTCCCGCCGATGGCAGCGCTCGCGAGTCGCTGCACCAACGTGCAACCAATGTGTGTTGTGCGCGCGAGCTTGCAGCGCAACCCCACTCCACTAGTCTCCCTATACTTAAACCTATACATACTAGCTACCAATATGTAGAATAATGTAGTATCTTGCAATAAAATGATTTACGCTAAATTGAAAGCGCACTCGAAATTGGCCATTGGTACAACGTCCGCGGCGGGTCTGTGCGTCGGGATATACGCGGTGTGGTGAGGCGCAACGGGAGGCGGGAGGCGGAGGCGCGGCGGGATGCCCGGGGCAGCTTGGCGGCACTGATGACACCACCTAACATATTGCTCTACGGTGGCTGGATGTGGAACTAAGTTCTAATGTACTTGCAGCCTATATGAACTCATTCAGATATGCAGGCGTATGTGTAACCTTTGTCAATATATTAGTGGATGGTCAACAGCGGAAAAAAAACAGAGATATAGCAGATCTGCGCCGATACATTCTAAGAGATTGTAGGCTATGGTGATCGATTGCGACTGGTGAAGGGTGATGCCATCAACTCCCATATGGTTATGTTCGCGGTGATGCTTGCCTTTGATCGCTCACCACGACGCGTCGATGGATCTCCAAAAACTCACGGATTCTCAGAAAAGTTCATTTCGACGAGGCAAGTTAAATTAATCTTGAGAGGCGCGAGTCTTAACGTTTAGGTGGATTCAAAAGTCTGAATGACCTCCTTCTCTGTCCACCTGAACGCGTTGCTCAGCGATGTAAAGTTTCGCAACTAGAAGCAGACAGCATTATACGAGCACTGTGCTCCACTGATCTTGCCGATATTATCACCCTGGAAGACAGTCCTACCGAGATAGAGACCTTCACGACCGGCGACAAACACCTCGATGAAGTTCTTGGAGGTGGAATTCGCACAGGTATGGTATGGGAATTTGCCGGTGAGAGGTAGTCCGCTGAGCGTAACACACGAATAAAGCTGACTGAATTTGTCAGCGGTGCTGGAAAAACTCAGCTTGGTTTGCACGTCTCCTTGGGTGTCCAACTTCCCCGACAGCAAGGTGGTCTTGCAGGCGCTGCATGTTACCTCACAACATCTTCCAAACTGCAAACAAAACGTCTTATGGAGCTTCGTACGACCTGCATTGAATTCAACTCACCGTCATGCAGCCTGGACAACGTTCAAACCCTCCGTTGTCCCAACATCCCTTTCCTAATCCAAGTCCTCCAAACAACCCTCCCGGACCTCGTATCAGAGAAAGCAAACACTTCCCGCCCGGTCAAAGTCGTGGTTCTCGATGCCCTCGGCGAACTCTTTCATACCAGCGAAAGAACCACAACAAAGACTCTTGTCGAACGCGCAAACTCCATTGCCGAAATCTCCAACGCCTTTCATTCTCTCGTCAGCAAGTATAGCCTCGCAGTCGTTGTTCTCAACGAAGTCGTCGACACTTTTGGCTTTGTGCCCTCTGACGACACAGCGCTATCTTACAGTGACCAAGCGCGCTGGTTCGCGCGCGCCAATACCGTAGCAGGCGAGGACCGCAAGGAGGCGGCGCTCGGATTGGTATGGGCAAACCAAATCAACGCCCGTATCTTGATGTCGCGAACACATCGTCGTCGACATGTCGAACACGACCACCGTGGGCGCTCTACAGAGGGCGACACCATGCTCATCCGGCGTTTGACGGTTGTTTTCAATTCTGCTGGAGTGCCGGCATCGGTGGATTATGTGGTGACCAGGGCCGGTGTTGTGGTCATTCCAGACGAGAGTGGCAGTCAGATACAAACTGGGAGGAGGTTACAAGTGGAACAGCAGCAGACCAGAGCTAGCGACGTCCCGTTGAGTACGCAGATTCCGCCGATGGATCGTTATGTGGAGGAAGTGGATGAGTCGGAAGTTGCAGCGTCCAGCTCCAGTATTGGGCTTTGAGTTAATGGAGACTACTCATCAACTCTGGTCGCGGAAGTTTTGTGCTAGAAAATCAGACGCGAGACAAAATGGCAGTACTAAATGACATGGCCTGAACTTGTCTATAGGTACAGTACCGATAGTTACGCCGGCCTACGAGCAGTGGGAAATAATCAATTATCAATCATCATTGTGTTCTTGAATCTTATTTAGGTGATTAGGGTGGCGGACCTAACCCCCAGAACATAGGTACCGAGCATAAGTACCGGTACCGTACCGTACCGTACCATGTACTGTACACCCCCCGCCGGGAGGGTAGGTACAGTACCTATCACATGATGCGTTCACGTGACCTTATCACGTGCAGGCTTCGGATCACGGCGCGGGGCGGGCGGCGGCATAATCGGCGGGCGCCCAACGACATTGGGGGGAGTGGCATGGCTCTTATTGGGGTTTCCAAGGGCTATAACTTTGGTAAGTAGTTTAAGGGTGCTATTGACGGAGTTTTGCAGCAATTTCAAAGTCATTGGGCCATTGTGAGGCTGCTCCAAAAGGTGTCTAAATCCAAAGCCATTGTGAGGCTAAATCCTGCGATTATGGGGCCCATCAGCGTTGAAATATGTTCTATTATACCCTTGGTAGTGTAATATGCACGCAAAAACAAGAAATCCCGGGAAACAGCGCAAAAAACAGGCAAAACGCGGGGTGTGGCGCAGGTCACATGTTTCCATCACGTGCCGGTACAGTACGGTACAGTACGGTACGGTACACCCCCCCCCCTAAATCGGGCATAGGTACGGTACCGGTACTGTACCCCCCGGGGAGCATAGGTCCGCCACCCTATAGGTGATTGACAACAAAAATTGGAGGAACAATTCTTTGACTCTCAAAACAATGAGCTGGTAGCGGCGAGGTTCGAACTCGCGCGGATTGCTCCATTGGGAAGCGAGGCTCGCTTAAATCCAACGCCTTAACCACTCGGCCACGCTACCATAGAAGTTTCTTCAACAAAGGACCCACAAAGGGGTCAAACATGCTTTACAACGACCACATCTCTGCTTGACGAACTGGGACGAGGAGGACATCGTGGGAAGCATCAGAAGCCCGTGAGACTGATTATCATCTTTTCTGCTGTCCTTCCTCTGAGTCTACATGGGCCGCTGCTTTCTGGCAACCGTGCACATTGCCAACATCTTCAAGAATGCAGCTTTTCCTGCTATCGATGAAACGTACAGCACTGCAGCAGAGAATTACATGACCTAATCATGTGACAATCACCTTTTCTATCTGAGCATCTACCGTGATGATGCATAGGCGAATTTCAAGATTCTAAGCTGCTGTTCAGTTTCTTTACAGACCTTACTTTGACCAGCGATCGATAACAACGTCAAATTGGCAATCACAATCTTCTCAAAACTATGTTCGAAAAGCCCGCGGACGTGTGCTTTCTTGTATGACAAAAAAGAGTGAAAGGCCCCGTAGCGCACTGTAGATGTAAACCAGAAATATCATTTTGTCGGAAGTCTTCATTCTCGGGTTCTGGTGCTTGCCCGGCGGAGTCCTAGGGCAAGCATCCAGCAAGCATCTCACACCATTCTGCATCCCCATCTATCGAAGTTTCCATTTGACGTACGTAAGCGACCTGCCCGACCTAGCGGTCTGGACAGGCAATTGAGTTTACGATCTTATATAACCTGATTCAGCAAATCATTCAATCGCAGTGGCACCTTCGCTCACCAGCCAGGCCCAAAGGCACCTAATTCTGCGAAGCCCAACACAGACAGCATACAATCAAAGCAAATAAATAGGGTATCACACGCGCACCTGTCGCGAATACTAATTACAAAACAATGCTGTGGCACAGTAGTAGTACGGTGTATGCTACAAATGTTTCAATGACAGCGAAGAAGGTATGCGAGGTGGTTGTTCTTGATATATCAGTATTTCTTGCTCGCGCGCCGGCGAATATTGTCGATGTGTTCACCCGGGCGGCGGTCTGTGCGCGCACCATTATAATCAGCATCCACCAGCGACCGTTTACTCGGAATGACAGAGCTATCCCTCGATTGCGACCTTCCTTGTATGTCTTGGAATCGAGGCGACATAGTCTGTCGTCTACAAGGACGCAGATCGTTGTCCCAACGCGTTCGCGCATGAGAGGTGAGCCTGTCATCTTCGCGTGTCGACGGAGGTGATCCTCCCGGCGAGTTTGATGTCCCTCTCATGTGTGCGGCTGAAGGGCCCGGAGTGACCGCGCGGGAAGGAGGCGGACGAGCACCGCTTTTGAGCGAGTCAACCCAGTCGACGAACGATTGTGAGAGCCCTTCCTGACGAATGGATTTGGGAGTTGTCGAACGCAGCGGAGGCAAACGAAGGTCCCGCGAGGATGGAGAATTTGTGGACGAAGTATTGCGGCTATGTGGGTAACGTGTTGTACTTTGCCGGGTAGGACATGGTGAAACGGTTCTGGAAGTATGCCTCACTCGAGAGCGATGCCGAGGAGGTGAGAGAGTGCGAGGTGGTCGCTTTCGAGAAATGGGCCGAGGGGACCTCGACGGGCTACGAGACTGAGAGTCGCGGGTACATGTCGATGGTGGTGGCGGAACGCGCGTAGGTGAGGGTAAATTTGACAAGGCCGCAGCTTCCTTGGAAAAGTCAGCATGCATAAAGCGATTGCACATGGGTAGCCTACAAGCGACAAGTGTTGTAGATAGCAGTAATACCGGGCAGCCTCATCTGAGAACTCGGCGTTCCTTGCTATCCTGAACATCTGTTCAACAGCGCGGTACTCGATGGAGACGCCCTCTGCAGTACGCGTCTCCTTGAGAGGTGGTAAGTTGCGGAGGATCGAGAGCTCTCTGTCTGTCCCGCTCGAGGCGTACTGCCAGTTCACCCTTACATCGTAGTGTTGCTCTAGCTCACGCGTAGCGTCAGCGATCAGGTTAAGTAAACGCTTGTCGATGGGCAGCATCCCAAGACGAGGATCCTTGTGCTTGAGCCAAAAGTCGCGGCCATAAACCGCTACCTTCTCAAGCCCTAAAAATGGTTATTCAAGATCCTTTTTAGCTAGTCTCAGACCCACATTCGTGTATAGTCTTCACGTTTATTCTGACGGTTAGACGGCTCGTACCGGCGACTTGGAACACCATAGCATGGCACAGTAATCGCAAGGCGTACTATGCAAGGTAAATGTGGAGGACAAATCAGTGGCGGCTCCCGGATACATACCGATAGAATCACAATGCTCGGACTCGGCGCGGTATCCCGGAGCAAGCTTACATCGCAGTCACTTTCATGCGAATGAGATCGAATCCCGAGTTGATGAGAAGAAAATACGCACATCGGGTGTGCGCCGTATTCGAAGTGAATACCGACGCTGCGTAAATACGAGCTGGTCTCTTGGACGACGATAGACACAACTGCGCGTAGATGGGCAGAAGGAGCGTGTGCAGTAGTTATAGGACGTGGGGATAGAGATTTGGTGTCGGTCATGATGGGAAAAAGAGAGAATGTGTGAAGCACGTCGGCGTGCACCTTTGTTGAGTTCGTGGTCATATCGATGTGGCCTCGAATGATCCGTTCTCAATTGTTTTATGCCCGACGATTCGCCCGGCACCTGTGCCTATGGAAAGAAGCGGCCAGGCCCGCGGTATAATTGATTGCAGAAGCCATGCCTTGTGCCTGTGTGTTGCCACGATCGCGAGGAAGTCGCAGGGTTCGAATCACTGAACAAAGAGCAAAACAGTGAAAGTGAGTGTCCATGTACTCGCATTGCTTACATTCTACACCAAATATCTATCCACCACAAAGGTACATTACAGCACGATAAATGCCCCGTTGGGCTTAATCCTCGCCGTTCTGCCCGTCGCTACCCAGCCCTCTTCCTCCTCGCTCGAGCCTGGGATAGTCTCGCTCGCGACATTCACATAGTCCTCTCCGAGCAGCTTGCCAACCGAAGGTCCACGCACCACAAAGGTGCCTTCTGGGTCCCCATCCGCCTTGATTGCGGCGTCGCTGACGTTGAGCAACCGCGCCTCGATGTTGATGGCCGGCGGGCCGACATGCGCAGGCGCCGTATCTGGGCCAGGGAAGGTCTGCAAGTCGAGCGGATGCGATGCAAGGATTGGACCAGCTACAACCGGGTGCGTGTACGCGTTGACGAAACCAGCGGAAAACGCCACTCGGGCAGGTGTCAAAAGGCTAGCAGGGATTGTTCCTGCAAGTCTTGGTTGGATTTGGAAGATAGAGCATGGGTGCCAAAACATACCTCCACTGGAGATGACAGCAGCTAGCGTTCCTGCAGCTTCACCAACAACCTTGGCGCGCGCCGCGTCGAAAACTAAGCGGTCCCATAGGCTGTCCTTAGAAAGGAAGCCCTCTTGGATACCCGCAACTTTGTGCCTCCACGCGAAAGGATATAGGATACGATTCTTTTGTGCGGTTTTGAGGATAGATGATACCAGCGCTTCAACATGGTCGGGCTTCACGAAAAGTACGGTCGGGGAGGGGATTTTGTAGGTCCTGGCAGAAGTAACGTCCTTGACGTTGTACTTGGGATCAACTGGAGACATGTCAGATATGATTGAGCTAGCCACAAAACTCGGCCTTACTTTCTGAAGTCCTCAGAATTTGAGTGCTTTGGAGAGTAGCAAAGCTTGTTCCTTCGAAGAGAGCAGTGTATGCGATGGCGCGGCCGTACGCTGTGCTGAGCGAGTGAGCGGAGACAACGGTATCTAGGGGAGACAGTGCGTGGGAAGCAGGCATCAGAGCACGGATGGCGGTCACACCAGCTGTGATGTTTTCGTGGGTCAGTTGGGCACCTTGAAGCTGCCCATCGCCTGACGACCAGAACGACACGGAGAAGATATCACTCGGTTCTGTGGGAATGAGACAATAGTCATTGTACGTGAGAGAGAGAAACGCACTGGGAATTGGACTGAGAATCTTCTGTGTTTTTGTGCCTTCGCGCTCGACGTCGTCCCAACTGTAGACCTTCACGCTGCTCGCAACAGACGCCATGGCCTGACGGGTAGGCTCTCCTACGACAATGATGGTGTGATGTTGCCCGACCTCTCCAGCATCATAGATAAGCTCAAGGAGGGTTGGCAAGAAATGGGCGTCCGCAATGATAGCCGAGGGCGGGTGCGAGTCGAGTACGCTAGAGAGCACATCGGACGAAGAGATGGTGAATGACGGAATGGAATGCGACGCCAGCGCCAAGTCGCTAATGAGGAATTCTGCAATGCAGGCGTCAAGGAGAGCCGAGGAAGTTAGGTGGCTAGCAACGCACCGATGCAATCGTTAACCAGCAAGAGAACGTTAGAATCCCCGGATTCAAGCTTCGCTAGGCGTAGGAGGCCAGTGCCAAATGATGCGACACGGTCTTGCAGTGCAGAGTTCGTGATCTGTCGACGAAATAAGCTTGGATGTGGGGATGGAACACTTTAGCACGCACACGGGTGTTCCACAGAGTGCGGGGGGCATCTAGCTCAGGTCTGATGAGGTCTCCAAGAATGTAAACATCCTTCGTTGGTCGCAGGGGCAACTGAAGTACATCGTTTAGTGTCAGTCACGGTTGCAAGGCGCGACACGTACGCGACCCATGAGCCCAGTCGCATAATTCCTGTAGACCGCACTCTGTCCTGGGTTGCGTACGCGGGCAACGTCGCTTTGGCGGCCAAGAAGAATGGGATGCACCAGCGGTTGGGGTTTGTAGAAGTTGTGCAGCAAGAATACGGTTGCAGCTATGAGACCGAGCAGGACCGTAAGGTCGTCCGTGACGATGTGTTGGGCGATGTCGAGCCCCATGCCGACTGTTTTCGTGGCAGCTGGTAGTGTGAAATCAAGCTGTACTCCGCTGCTGTCAGTGTGACGGTGAAATTGAACCGAGTGGGACCAGGTGCTGCGACCCCGAGCTATTGGATGCCGCCGGCACAATTCAGAAATGATCGCACGGCGTATGTCGATGGACGAGATTTCGGCCTTTGCCCAC